AAGAGAAATTATTGATTTTCTTTACACAACAGTTATTGCTCTCCCTCAGCTTCCCCTTTTTTTTATCATGGAAGAAATACATAGGCAGGTGTTATCTAATAACAAAGACCGACATAACAGCGAGCTTTTGAATTTATCTTGACTCCTAGTCCCCATTGAAGATATAGAAACTGACCTGGCGTACATTCTAAGTCTCCGATTGGAGTCGAACCCATGACCTCCTGTCCGGATGAACCTCTGAGCTACAGAGAGACTCGTGACGAGCTCATTTATTTACTAAATTCACGGACTGCAAAGATTATGGCTAAATAATTTCCTTCATGTAGAAAATTTCGCCTCAGACGGAAACGTTTTGCCAGACATTCTATTTTGTTTTGAATTTCAGTACGTTTGCCATGTTTTCAACAAGTGTGATCTTTTTTATGGGCGACACGCTTTGTGAATAACCAATTGGTCTGCCTCCTGCCAGTTGGGATTTTTAACTATGTTACGTTTATTTGAAATATTTTTTCCGTTGTTTCAGTGGCATGCCTGTAGCTAAGCTTAGCGCTTATATAGCAAAGTGCATGACCGTTATAATTACGATTCACAATTAAAAAAGACGACACACCGTTTAAATTTGTAAGACATGTTTCGGATACTCAGTATCCATTTTCAGTTAAAGGATGTTTACAAGTGAGTGACTTTATATAAAGCAGGTAACAAGTAGGGTATCCGAAACCTGCCTTGCATATTTAATCAGTGTGTCGTCTTTTTTAATTGTTTGATTTCATTCTTACTGCTACGAAAATTTGGAAAAAAGATTTACATTTTTATCGCTACATTTTACACACTACAAAAACGTAGAAGTTGAATTCATTCTTTTGAACTCGTATGTTTATTTTAGGTCTGATAGCATGCTGCAGCATTACTTGGGTATCCTCGTCATCTTAAACACTGCAAAGCTTCACGAAGCGCGGGAACACTGCTCTGACTCAACATACTCAGTATACGGTCATAGCTTGTCCAGTCACGTGAATTCAACAAGAATTTCCTCCAGTCTCTCTGACTGCGTGATGACGTGTCAAAATGAATTCCGCTGT